TAATGAATTTTGCGCTATAGAAATAATAAAATTATTAAATTATTATACGAAAAAATCCTTAGTCTTTATGCTTTCCACTTTTGCTCGAACAGCCAACAACAATGCATAAAACCATCCCTTCTTTCTCACATGAACTCTTCGTTAGATACGGTTTGTTTACGCTCGAGGGACACCAAGATGGCGGATAGTAACCGTTGCTAAGGTATTGGTCACGTGGGCGAAACCCAAGGATAGCGTCAAGGAACCGCTCGACCAATCAGATTGCCGGAAACTCTTTGTTCAGCTCTGAAATTATACTAAAGGCTGATACAAATCCTGCATGTACAAATCTTTGCACAGGTACAAACTGCTTTGCATAATGCATCAATCTTTGGAAACAAAGTTTTCCGTAACTAAATAAGCAAGTTAAATAAACTTAAGATCAAAATGAAAAACAAAGTGGATTAGCAATTTTTAGGCTAGCTACTAGCAGTCCCTCCTTTTCGGCCAAGTCCGTCGCGCGAGTCCAAATCACCAACTCGCCTCAATCCCAGAGCTCCCGCGTTACTTCGACGTCAATTTATTTTCGCTGATGGTTTTTTGGACTGCACCGAAAAGAAAGGCCTAGTTTAGCCTTCTATCTACACCCAAAACATCAAACACCCGAGGACCAACGGAAAGTACAGACAGACACTTGGAGTTTGTGTTGAAGAAAAGTTTGACACTTCGTTTAATAAACCCAGTTTATCAGTTAAACAAGGTCATTACGTTAAATATCTAGTTCCTTAAGCTTTTCGTTTGCGCTATCACCTGTTCAGTGTGGAACTCTACTCTAATTAAAAAAAAAATGAAAAAACTTCTCTGTTATTCGCAGCTTGCTGAACCAATTCGTTATCTGATGGCTTATACCGGAACAAAGTGCGAGTACTGCGACTATGTGACTGGGGACGGTGAGTCACTTCTTGGAGGCTGAATAAGAAAGAAATAATGAAATGATTGTAACTTGACTGCAATCCGTTGTGAAATAAAACTCTGCTGCTTGCCTCTGCTAGGCTTGCTGACTGTGTTGCCGTCTGTTGATATTTTGTAGCACCTGATTATGACAAAAGCTGTTGGCTCTCAGTGAAAGAGACATTAGGGCTGCCCTTTCCGAACGTAAGTTACGACGGACCTTTTTAACCTTTTGCACCTCTACATCAGTTTGCATATTCTCCGTAGTTTTCTCTGTATATTTGATATGATGTTGACAAGGAGAATTTGTTAATTAATAACAAGTTTTTGTAGTTAAGATTTATTTTCTTACTTGTCATGACCTCAATGTTTGATTGCTGGGTGAGACTGTAATGAGGAAGTTGATGCTAGTCACCCTTGCGCGTTAGAGAGTTAATACTGACTAGATTTTCTGGTTGTCTGCATGACCAAAATATTTCTTCTTTTGTCCTTCATCATTTCTTAAATGTACAATTTTCTGAGTGAGAATCACTCACGCTTATTTTTCAGTTGCCATATTACATCGACGGAAATGTGAAGTTAACACAGACGTTAGCGGTAGGCAATGTTGCATGTGCTTGAAGATCATATCAACTGGCTCATGAACAATATTATACACTTAATATATGGTCCTGAGAGAAACAGTTAGTTTTGTTTTCCGGAAACATCAAGAATTGAGGGAAAACGAAACTAACTAGTTTCCCGAGGGACCATACATTACGTGCTTTGTTATATATTAAGACTTTCCCTTAAACAGTCACGTGCCAAAAACATCCTGTTGGATTCGGCGCAAGGCAATTGACTGCGCAATTGTATCCCGGTAGGAATACTTTGAGTTTAATCAGGGGCACTTTACCAAGAATCAACCAATCACAGCGCTCGTTTTTTGTTTTGTTTTTTTTTTTGTTTTTTGAGCGAAAGTTTAGGTATATAAAAATTCAATTTAGTGTACACTAAAACAGTGGATAGCGTTGAAGGCGCGCTCTGATTGGCTACTCAAACTCAAAAGATCCTTTGCTATTTACCTGTGAGCAACTCGCGCGGAATTTGCGACCAAAAATATTGTCATCATTGCAAGGAGAAATGAGTTTAAATCATCTTCTCTTAACAGATTTATTTTGACAAATACATTTTATTTTTTCAGATTATTCGGCATATCGCTCGAAAGCACAGTTTATGTAAGTGTTTTTCACAATTAACTGAATATGACTCCTATCTATTCTTGTTTTTTCATGTGAAATGGCCACGTCTCGACTTGAAGGTCATGAAGGTCTTGAGGGTAATATATTGAATTCCCTTGTTGATTTCTATCAGTTTTTTCCTATGAAGTAGTTTTCATTCTGTTGCGATCCTAAAATTTGAAGGGAAAATATCCTGCTCGAAATAATCAGGAAAATTAAGCATTTTAACACTCCTAAATGCAGTGTTAGACTTGCTGTGTATTTTGCTGAATCAAGTCTCAGATTGCGAATGACTTCGATGTTCCTGACTTCGATGTTCCTAGAAGTGAGTAGGTTCTTTACCCTTTCCACCCTAACATCAGTATGCATATTCTCCATACTATTCTCTATACATTTCCTAAGGTGCTGACAAGGAGAATTTGTTTGAATATCGAGAGCGTCTTAAGTTTCCTTTATTCTTGTGACCTTGATGATTGATTCAGGGGTGATATTGTAAGGAGAAATTAGATGCTGGTCAATCTTAAGGGCAAAAGTATAAAATGGGAATCGTTGGTATTTCAAATTTTGATAAATGGTAATTCCTAAAGGAGAGCAGTTGTCAAAGTGGTCCTCTAAAACTCTTTTGGACAATTATCTTAGATCGAAATTTCCGCATCATTTCTTCCTGTGTGTATTTGAAGGTGGAACAAGCGAAGAGGAGATGATGAGAGCCGATGTTGTCGCTGGCGAGGTACGAACGAATTTGATTGGTTACTTTGACTAATTGTTTCTTGATTTTTTTTTCCCTTGGAAGCCACACGTAACATTTCCGAACGAACGACGTACTTTTTTTTTCGAATAAGGAATGCAGTTTCTTCACCTACTGGTGCTATTGATCCTGATCAGAATCGAGTTAAAAAGAAATAAAATCTGAGAAAGAACACCTGCTGAAACGTTGTTGAAAAATGTTTGGTATGGCCCTCAAAAAGCTTCACCCAGCGACAAAGTGATCGATGGTCGTTAAAGATCTAACGGCTTCTGTAAAGTCGTACAAGGTGAACTGAGAATAGAAGTGTCAAGACCAAACTCAAACATGTAACAAAAACTATAAATTCGTTCATTGTTGTAATGACAGTTGTCTAAAGCGGATGCTTTTAGCAAATCAACTCAACAAGTCAACCCGTCTTTGTAAGTCAGTGTACATCGGACATAGAAAAGTAGTGCACTGAAAATAGTCTCTGGTACGCTTTAGTCGCTTTAGTTCGAAGGAACAAAGTTTGTTTTCCTTGACAAGCTGGATGAGGAAACTTAAATGATCAGAAACAATGTCCGCCTCAATTAGCTTTTTGTCTGACTGTTTGTATGCCTTTTTTCTCTTTTCTTAGGCAATGGACTTTATCGTTGGATTCATAAAGTTCACTTATTTCAGCCCAGACATGGTAAGAACGATTTTGATTGCAGTCTAGTCACGGGAGGTTATTAGGGTTTTCTTGAGTTGTTCCCGTACAAAACTTGATTCTCTGCCTTTGGAAGTCTCTGGTATTGTTCTTTTTCCAAGTGTTTTTTCTTTGACAAATTAATTCATATTATTTGAAGGAAGGTGGTTGGTTGAGTTAGTCGAACAATTAAGTCTCTCTTAAAGAGAACTTCGGATGGTCAAGAGACATTTTGAAACACGTCAAAGGCCACTTTTGAGGTGATTTTTCCCAGGGGAAAAAATGAATACTGAAAGAAACAAATAGCTAAATAAGACCCTAGCACGTAAACGTAGGTGCTCGGGAGTACGACGGAAAGTAACTATCTGGGAAAGCAAATATTGTCACACGTACTACTCTCTCTTCGAAAGTTGTAGAATCATGAGAGGTTCAATCTCTCTTGAAGAAAAGAATACATATAGAGTATACATAGAGTATACATAGAGTATAGAGTATACATAGAGTATACATATAGAGTAGAACTGATCTTAGAAATTCGAGCCGAAAATGCGTACTATATTCAATTTGGATGAAATTTTAGAGGGAAAAATTCCTTTCTTTTTAATAGAGGTATAGTTTCATTATAAAAGTTGCCGGAGATAAGCCGGCAGGTAGCTTTGTAGCCGGTTGGGAACCGGAATGAAGCCCTGATTTATAACCTTTAGATCTGCTCGTCGTTCCAGCCTGTTGCTTTTGAACCCTCCTCACGCTTGCAAACCCAAAAAAATGTAGTTTTATATGGCTCAAGTAAGTTTACTTGTGTTTATCACTAACATAACCAACTTGGCATGAACACCTTATTTACTGACAGGAGGGGGGAAGGGAAGAGTATTTGAATTCAAGCAGGGTATCTCTTCAGCGTTACTCAGACTTCCTCAGTACCTATCCTTACTTCGCTGGGGATCATGTAAGTATACTATTTGACATTTTTCTAACCATCCCTTACCCATTCTGTGTAATGCATCGATCAATTTAAAGCTTCAAAATTCCTCCAACCCCCCGGTAACCCTTCAAAAGTTCAAATGCGCTAGAGTCCCGGACTTTTGAAGATCACTTCATTTAAAGTCCTTCCCTCCAGTTCAAATTTGCGTCCAAATGCCCCACCGAAGCAAAATCTGTTTATTTGACGATTCCTTGTTTGATCAACGCTGTTGGGGTTTTTCGTTTGCCTACATCATACCACGATGTAAAAAATTTTCTCCTATGCCATTTGCTTACGGAAGCGGACTCTACTGATACCTTTAGACTCCTCCGTGTTTAAAATCAAAACAAATTAATTTCGCCAGTTTACGTTCACCACCTCACCCAGGCAAGGTTCAAATTCCCCACCCCTCTGGGCATAGATGACAGTCAACTACCCATGGGCTGCCCGGGGGGATGTTAAAGCTTCGAATTGATTGGCGCATAAGCTCGGCACGCGAAGCCTCACGTTTGATTCAACTGGAAAATCAAACAACTGTCGTAATTAACAAGTGAAAACATTTGGAATTTGCTGATCCCGAAATTCCATTTCTTCTAATTCTTATTTAGTTAAGTTTCGCCGATTTCATGATGTATGACTTCTTGGATCAATTACGAACCTTTGAGCCGTTAGCTCTTGATCCATTTCAAAACATTAAGGACTTCATGGCCAGAATCGAGGTAAGATACAACAACTCAATGATCTCCATTTTGTGATCGAGGAACGAATCAAACTAGGAATTCGAAAAGCAATAAATTACAGAGTGACGTAGGACTGGAACTAAAGTAATCACGACGATTAATCAGGGTGAAGGAAAATATCTCAAGGAATATATATCTAAATAGAAACTTAAAGTAACAACAAGCAAACTGCGTGAAGCGTGAAGAGAAGAGAGCGTGAAGCGCGGGAGAACGTGAGGCGAGGGAAAACACAGACGACAAAGTCGCGAGTGGTTTTACTTTTTAATCTGATTGGTGGAGCGGATGGCGCCAGTTTACTGAAACAATCACATGAGGAAGGCGAGCAAAATCAATGACATCCTGAATTGCTTTCGATACTCATTGAATGTTGTTCTAAAAGTGAGAAAAGGTGAAATTGCGCTGATGTTGTTCAAAAATGAAATACTGTAGATACTATGTAAACTGAATAATATGATAAACTGTACTAATTATAGACCAATTTTTTAATTGTTTCTTTCGTAAGACCTACTGAAAGACAAACGCATAGATGACATCACAATTTGTCACCATTTCGCTTTTTTTCATCATATAAAACAAATAGATTCCATGTTGCTGCGGGTCTGTATAGCACTGATCACCGATATATCACAGAAGACGTCAAACTGCGGTATGAACATAAGTCACAAACTCGGCTGGGCCTGGGTCTTTTCATTTTTTTTTTTTTTAATCTTTAATACCATGTTTGGACGTTATCTGGGATTACTGAACTGACACACAGCAACATGGCATCGATTTGTTAATCATACCGTCAAGCACTAAACCATTTCTGTTAAAGCACAGCAATATTTCCAAGCTTTGTCTTCCATATATCACATCACTGTCTTTTATTTTAACCAGCGCATTCCTGCCATAAAAGAGTTCTTGGAGTCAGAGTACTTCCGTAATCGACCAATCAGCAACAAGATGGCACAGTGGGGAACCAAGCCTATTCCCCGTCAGTCATGAAACAAGGAAAACGAATTCATCAACAGACAACTCAGATGTGATCACAAATGAGAGAGACTACCGCGCCTTGAAACACTTGTCTTTATTCACAAATAAAAACGGCTGTCTTATCCATATAATACGTGTGAACCCTCGTATTTAATGAAAATAATCTAACATTGGCCCTTTACACCCTACCGTTAGTGTGCCGCATATTCTCCATATTGTTTTCCTTGTATTCCCTAAGCTGTTGACAAGAATTTGTTTAACGACCAAGGGCTTCAGTAGGCGATCATTTCCTTTCTCGGCGTGACGTTGTTTGATTCAAGGGTGATGTTGTAAAGAGAAATTACATGCTAGTCACAAGATTTAAGGGTATGTTGTGCATGCGCAGTTCTATATCTTGCTCGAAGGATTGAGATTAATGAACCTCGGACAAATCAGAAATACCTTGAAATCAACCTAAAAAATAATCAAATTCTCGTTGCAGTTTTAACATTTGATCCATATGTGGAGTGTCATTCGCTAAATTTTTATCAGAGGGCATTGAACACTTCCGTCAAGATCCTTCCCCTCCTTTTCCCCTTACCCCAACAGAACTCGCGGGGCCAATGCGTTGTTGTAAATCCCGAATGCTTTAGAACCAATTATTATTTATCGCCTAACAAGTCTTGCAAATCCAACATGTGACTCAATCCCAGCCTTACATTACTCTTGCAATATCTTTCCTAGTTGCCTTGGTACATTTTAAACACTTCTGAATTTTGAACCCCATAATGAAATCGAGAACGTAGTTTTTACTACCCTTAAGTCGCTTATCAAATGTCGGATGCCTCAGAAGCCGATCTCAGATGTGAAGGCGAACTGTAGATATAATCACCACGACTGACTCCTTTTGAACAGAAAAGGTGTGCTTGAGTCGTCACCGCACGATTTTTTCTCATCATCATCATTATTAGCAAAAACACGTGCATTAGCCCCTTAAAGGACAAAGATTCAAAGGTTTTGAACGGGAAACAAGCTTACACTTTTTAACAAACTCTATTATCTGGAATAAATTTAACACTTAGTTTCATGCCGCGATTAATCCGTGCGTTACCCAGCACATAAGTTGCGAAAAGAAAAAAAAAACTGTCATCCAAGAACTATTTTAATATAACGCCACTTTAAATCCACATGTTAAAATATACGGTAAATGAAATACATTATAAATCATAATTGCAATGCTGAGTGCCAATGCCTTGCTAACCCCAAGGCCTTAGGCTGGCGCCCTAGTTACCCTTGGGCTGGTGCCCTGCTCACCCTTGGGCTAGTGCCCCAATTACCCTTATGCTAGTGCTCCGATTACCTTGGTAAACTGTACATAAGAAATTAAACATTTTCTATTCCCAAAGAACCCAAAAATTCCAGTGAACTTGACTTCTTAAAAAGATCAGTGTGATGTCACATTGATTTAAAATAATCATACCATTTTCCATAATTAATTATTGTAACTTAGTCATACGGGAATGGTCCAAACCACGTGTTTTGTCCAGAACTGAAATCTTATGCTTGCCTTGTGCTATGTTTATGGCATTATGATTTATCTTGTTGAATCAAAGCAAGCTGACTAAGATGGAATGGGACAAAGGCTCACACCAAAATGTAGACTTGTCAAAAATAACACAATTCTAAAAATGCAAAATAACTTAAAAGCCACATTTCGTGGTTAAGAAGAGTAACACTAACACAACGCCAAGAGCTACATGTAAGAAAAGGAATCATTCCAGGAAGCTCTCTCTCTGTCTCAAAAAATATTAATTTCAATTAATTTAGTCCATTTTCACTGCATTGAGTTTTGCAGTGGGGAAGGACTCGAAAGGAACATAGGAACCTTTCGTGCTAGTCCACCCTCCCACCCATCCCACCCCAGGGGAAGACATCCATCACACAGTAATCTTGTGCGTGGGAACTTAACGTCTCCTACCCTAACCCTGCAGGAGACGGGACCTCCATTTATTTGTCCCTATCCGAGAAGACTAGAATATCTAACTATTTCTTGATGTGATAGAAATGGTAGCAAATTCTTCTCAATTATTTTAAGACCATGAGTGTTGGTCCGGCCGGGGCTCGAACCCTCGACCTCCTGCACAACAGTCCAGCGCTCTATCCATTGAGCTAACCTCCTGGTTATATCAATTATATTAATTATATTAATTCTATTTGAAATAATCTTGCCCCTTTTAATTTTCACTGGTGACCTAAAGTATCAGGCTCAGGAATTACTAAAAAATTAAATTGTAAACATTTCAGACAGTAAAAGATACATTTAAAAGTGAAAAACAGCAAAAAAAGTTATGCTAACAATAATATCATTTAAGAAACAGTAACACAACACTTGTCATCATTCAGGAATCTGCAAAAACAGAAAACTCGGCTGTGATCTTGTGAGTAAATAGCTCATTACCTACAATCACTGTTCTGACAAAAATAAAAAGTTCAGGGATATAAACTGTTTGTATATGGATGCAACCACTGTGAAACCCTTATTGATGTTTAGCTTTTAACTCTCAGAAGCAATCAAAACATAATTTCTCCCTATAATTTTCAATACAATAATCTGCAAACAGGTAATTTATCAAGAAGAAGTTGTTGCCTTAATTTGACACCAAATTCTTGAAACTAATTTGCAAGTGCCTAAGTTGTAATTGGTTTCAGTTTTGAATCTGATTTGTTGAGAGAGAGGTGTGAGTTTTCTGGATCAATCACATAACAGGGTAAAGCTAAACCAAAGCAATTTCGCATGACTTTGAACACTCTACTGAAAATGTTTCTATTGGAGAGAAAACCATAATAAGTTATTAAACACTACTTACTAGCTTAGGTGCCGTTGATGTGCCTGCTAGGGGGGTACTCAGCGGAGTCACTGGACAGTGAAACTTGATAATAACCATCTGTTGCTCGTCTTTCCCTACAAATTAAAGGAAAACTTGAAGATTGTTATAATTATAAATGAAAGTCAAGAAAAAACAAAAGTAGTAACAGTAGTTTGTGACAACACACTCCAGCTTGGTGTTATACTAGTTTATCTATTGAAACTACAACTCCAAGAATCAATACATTAGAAAATATATTATGGTCATCAGTTGAGAGAGGTGCAAGAAAAAACTGGTAACAGGGTTTTGACGGTCAAATAGCATCATTGTCACATGCAACCTTCCTTGTTTCTAAAGGTAAACAAATCTCAAGAGCTGTGTTCACCAATGTGGAGCCTGCCAAAAGAAGTCAAATGAAAAGGTGCCACTGGAAATGGGGCTATTTTCCTGTGGCAACAACAGGATCTTCACTTCAAAATGTAGTTGCAAAACTTATGTCATGCCTCACTCAACCCAAAATCATAGGAACAGAGGATACACCTATCTCACCTTATTTTTTTTATCAAAATTGGTATAATGAGGCAAACAAAACTCATAAAAGTCTGCAAATATTAACAAATAATGAAACGTTACAACAGTAATTTCAACAAATGATTACATAATATTATATATGAATGTCCAAAATTTGGGAATTAAGTAATGAAGATGAGAGTGAAAATTGCAGTAATGAACACTACTTAAGCAGTAGTAAAAATGAAGTCTGAGGAAAATATTTCAGGGCTATATGGGAGTTGAACCCATGACCTCTGTGATACCAGTGAAGTGCTCTACCAATTGAGCTAACAAGCCAACTGGGAACTGGTCATTTTGTTGGTGCATTTAAAATAGGTGAGAAAAGCATACTTAGGTTAGGTGACCGACCAATCAACTGAACAAAGACATGAAATACTATGAACCTAACTTTGTTTCCCTTAAGAGAAAAATCTTTTTTAACATTATCACACCAATAAGTGTGTAAACAGTCATAATCTACTCCTGTGCAGAGAAAAATTATTACTAGCTGCATTTGATGTATACTTGCTGTAAAATTAAACTAACAAACAAAAACAAGGAGGCAAGAAACTACAGGCTATTGTGAACACATTTATCTGGCCCCTTCATTGAAATTCCCAAAGTATCTATTGGTAAAACATTATTCTACCAGCATGCCACTTGCTTAAGATTGTTCCAAATCTTTTGGTTTCTGTGGATCAAAATTTAATTTTAGGGTTTTGTAAAACAACTCTTCATAGAAAAAAACAAATATTCTACTAGCAGGCCATTTGTTTAAGATTGTACTGAATCTTTTGGTTTCTATGGATCAAATTTTAATTTTCAGGTTTTGTTGAACGACTCTTCATGGAGTAAGACAATCTGTGGAATTTCCAAGTTCTTATAAACTGATTAGCAAAATTTTGACTCAGCCCTTTGATCATTTGTTCTAACAGATATCAGAATTAATGATTCTGTCAAAGTAAAAGAGCCAAGTTACTTACCATCACCATTAAAAAGTAGAACACTGGTTTCCAACCACTATGTGTGTTTATTTCAGGAACAAGAAACTGAAAGAATGGATGATACCAAAAAGTATTCCCATATATTAACTTCACAGTTTTATATGGCTCTAAATTTATATCTAAATTCCTCCACACATCTGTATGGATTATTTGACATCAATTTTGTTAAAAACTGTCTCAACCCTTTATTCACCATCAGCGATCAACATGTAACTTCTCCCTAAAACATGCATACATTATCCAGTCATGAACAGGTACTGAGAATACTCAAACTCATCAGGTAGACTTGTTGTCTTGATCTAAAATCAAATTCTCACGACTAATTTGTAAAGAAATGAGTAAGAGCTAGTGGGTAGAATGAAGTCATGTGCCATGAAATTAAATGGCCACCAGTAAATGAGCATCTTCACTACAGAGACACTGTAATGACATTTAGGTGCATCAAGGGCCTGGCCCCCACATACTTGTGAGTCTTTTCAAAAGCACAAGTCTATTCACTGTCGTGACACTAGAAACAGAGAATCCCTTGATATTCCTCCAAGTAAGACAAAGTCCGGCCAGCAATGTTTCCTCCACAGAGCAGTCAACATTTGGAACAATTTAGACAATGACTTTAAACAGTTATCTTTAACATCATTTTAAAAAAGGTGAAAATACACATGCTACAGAACTATTTTAATGACTGTTTTTTACAAATCATAATTTCATTCATTTATTGTCATTATAATATATTTGCATTGTTTCGTATTGAAAAGCCCTTAGGGGAATGCTAATAAAGTATGTATGTATGTAGTTAAAGGGTTAATTCAAAGTGTGGATTCTTGTAATCAATATGCAAAGATTTGGAATCTTTTTACTCTTGGTATGCACATAGTCCTTGAAAAAAGGAGATAATGCATCAAATGCTGTTTCCTCATCAGCTTTCAGTGCAATTTGATGAGCCACAGGCAAAGTGAAGATGGCAAGACATATGCCAATAACTTAAAGTAAGATTTTTTTTTTGCCTTTTCAATTTAGAATTACCTGAAAGCCTTTTTGATTTGACCCTACAGTTCAACTAGCAGCAGAGAGTTATTCTCACCTGTCCTATAGCAGCCCCTACACTTCCAGTGCCATCCACAATCCCTGTCACAGTAGCTAAAGCTTCACTGTTGGCACTTAGGGCACTCTGTAAAATTGAACACAACATAAAATATGCACCTTGAAGAGAGAGTGTTTCTGGTCACAGACTTTTTTTTTTATTTTTTTATCATTATTATTACTGTTGGACCTTCACACAAAAAAAAAAAAGAAAAAAGAAAGCTA